AAAACAGATCAATCGCATTAAAAAGTATCACATGCATCACGCCTCATACATCTTCTTTACTACGTCACAAATCGTTTAAACGATACATATCGGTGCACATTTGGTGGAAAACGAGGCTAGCCATAACACTGTCAGAAAACACGTTGCATCCCTTTTACATTTCCAATTCTAAGCCATCATAGCTCACGGAATTGAGCTGTCTCCCCGTTATGGAATGAGGCCGGGGGTTGGAGGTGGTGGTAGCGTTTCGATCACAGTTCAGGGTTTTCCATGTCACTAAAGAACTTCAATTTTCAGAACGCCTGACAGGATAAAACGTCCATATTGCTATGTTTTTTTCTGTAGTATCCAAAAACACGCATGGCCTACTGAAGAAGCATCTGTGACTGAACACCCATGGACTCTCGATTTTTCATTATAATGATCATCAAACTCATGCAACAGTCTGACGTTTCGGAGGTAACACAAGTTTGCGTCTGAATTTAAAATGTGAGACAGAGACATAACGTTTCAAAACTTAAAACCTAGGCCTACAGGTCTTTTACCAAACCCGAGTCGATGTTACTTCCATCCTTAAGAAAATCAGAAATAACGTTTTTTTCCGCCCTCGTGTTTCCATCTCATACATCAGTTCACCCAGACAGACCTACACATCATACTAGCTTCAAAAATATCGAAGAGAAACGTTGACAGAACCCCTTGAAGCTCTCTAGAGGAAAGGATTCTAGGATATGTGAGTAAATATTGATACAGATCACGGAAAGAAAGGCATTTCTGTTCCTACACATCATAAAATACAGAACAACAAAACAAAATTAAAATATCGAGAATTACATATCAGTATTCTGGGTTGACGCCATGACGTCTTGTCGGTAGTCACCCACGTTTCGGAGGAACCTATTACCTCCACCTTTAGGGTAGAAGAAATAACTACAAGACTTCACGGATTCATAATCGAGAAGACCACAGCACAAGTGTTCATTCTCACACAAAAACAATACTGAATTTTACATAAATATAAACGTTCGTATTCAGATGACCGTGTTCTGGGATTGTAGTCTCGTAGAAATTGTCCGGCGTTTCAGAGGCGCTTACTGCCTCCATTATTATCGCCCTGATGATAGAGGCAGTAAGGACCTCTGAAACATTAGTAAACTTGTACCAGATTACAAGGCGCTACAACTCAGGCGACAGTCATCTTTATCATTAATAATTTTTCACTGTTGGATCAGTACCTAAAACATCAGTGCGATGCATATCTACCAATTAAACAAAAGCATTCATAATTTATTACAGATTTTTTATAATATTCAACGTAAAGAATACCTCATAGAATGATAATTATACTAGCATTTATAACTGACAAAGTATTCAGCAAAACATGTCATCTTTCTATAAATGTTCTGCTTTGTCTTTACTTTTCGAACATCCATGGGTGTTTCTTTGTAGTCAAAGTAGACAAATAGGAAAGCCAACAAGAAAGGAAATGTAAAAGACAAAGGCATAGAAACACGAAAGCAATTGCATAAATTATCTTAAAACAATACAAAAAATCGAAAACAACCTAAGCAATATAAAGTAACTGATGATTCGAATTCTAGTTAAAGCAGGCTGCTGACGGAAATTTAAATATTTAACATTAAATCGAGTCACTAAGCGTGTCAGTTTTAAAGCTTACTCAGCGACGATAAGTACGTACAGTGACATCGAAAGGAACGGCATTCAAGCGGACGTGGTCTCTTCGAGGGGTAACACCCGCCTTGAAGGCACTGACTGCAATCACGAAAAAATGAGGTGGTATACGCTGAATTTCACACAGAGTAGCCTACGAGTAGGGCCCACCTTGTCTGCACGAGTTCCAGTGAATAATCGCATTTCTGTACAAACTATAAAATTATTATGGCCTGAGTGATCACATTCAGACTTTATTGGTGACTGTAAGCACTTAACCACTCCGACAGTATATTATGCTTCTAATTCTCTGGTACTAAACTGAACAGTATGGTGCATTGGCAGCGCTTCAGGTTTTCAGCCGCGAAGTACCCAGGCCAAATCTTGTTCTGACTGACGATTTTCGTGATTTCCCTCAGTATCTCCAGGAGAAGGCCGCGACAATTCCTTGCAACTGGCCACATCTATGTTCCATATATTTTGTCATGATCATCTTTCTGTTTAGCTTGTCAATGTACAATCTCTGTAGCTGAAAGAGAGTCGATAAATAACTTAAGAAAAATCATCGATCTAGGTTAAAAGTGATGCTATCCCTCGTGCTTACGCAAGCACGCCTTATCGCCGTATTCATTGGAAGGGATATTGGGTAGACTTAACACCCGGTCCAGACAAAAAATCCTACCTTGCCGGGAATCAAACCCCGGTCATACGGCCTGTAATCGAGTCACAACACTGACTGAGCTACACAGGATTCTCACGATTCCTCGGGTTGTCATTTTCCGGTACCCATGAAGTTGCTAGAATGAATTTAGGTCTATCTGTTATTTAGTGCTCCGTTCTTCTTTTGTAAAATTTTGTTATTTTGTAAAATCGTTTCCATTAAAAACCTGAGTATAAAAGTGTACTCCAGACTTGAATAAGCCAACACATATTTATTTTTCGAATTGTCATACCTTATTGATCTTCATGTTCATTAGCTGCAGATACAAATATATTATTGCGTGTTCGAATTTAATGTTGCATTGTAAAACTGCGTGTTTCAAATAAAAGATGTAGACATCGCATTTGATGATACGTGCCCAATTTTATACAATAAGCCTTTTTTTTTTTACAAAATCGATAATATTATGACGTCAGTTTCATGTGAATAAATGGGGAATATGGAACCAACTGGAGCCAAAATGCAATACGTCTACACTTTATGTGAATACAAAATGTTTTACATAAAATTCGATTAGATACTTCTGAGAACAGCTGTGTTTGACGTTGCTTTACGCTGACAATGTCAACCTTAATAAGCTGTGAAGCCATATATCTGCATGTGGCTGATGTATGACGCCGAATACTGAGGACGTAACCTAACTCACCATTATGGTACATTATGCAGCACAGGATATACCAAGTACAGCTCCAGTCTTCCGGCTTCAAGATATATTTCAGTGGAGTTTAGACGAATGAGATATGCATAACACCGGTCGCAAGTCTTCTCGTTAAAGGACATTGCTTTTTTGGTTTATTCTTTGCTTAATATGAATATGATAACTCCTCCGCTAGCAAATAAATTGTCCTCCGTTTCCTGAACACACAGGTTCATTACCTTTTTCACAAAATCCCGCCAATATCTGGATCCTATCCCGAGTCCATTGAACTTAGTATACATCCTCAAATCCAATATTTTCATTAACATCCATTTTAATATTATG